TAGACCAGAAGGTCGTCTGCACTTAACTCGTAAGTCAACTCGTAATGGACTATCAGTCAACTGTAACCACTGCCTTACCTCTCATCAACAGGTGTTTGACTACTTAAAACAAGTCTGGACGCCCTTGACAGCAGTCCAGATACTAAGGTTTCGTGAAAAGCGTGTATGGAGACCAGTCTAGACACATTTCTGTTGGTTACTCGCGCCTGGCACAGTCTCGGTGCTCTACTCTAATTAAACCTTATCAGGAAAGGCTAACGGCCTCTGTGTTCACCGTTCTCTTTCTTTCTTGTTTACTCAAAACTGCCTAATTTGTACTTTACAGGTTTTGACGCGTATGCTGTTCTCGTCTTGTCCCATTATCTACTGGTATTGTGCCTCGATTCTTGTCGGTGACGATCTCTTCTCTCCGTCGAAAGACAGGAAAAATAAGAAGACCTTCTCAGGTGGATTTAGTATTTCTAGAATGATTACAATCCTCTCCCCGGCCTCGTACCTGTATATGCACCAGAAACTCCTTCTGTTTTACTTTTATTCTTACATCCTCGTTGGATGCTTTATGCATTCAAACTTCCTCCCCTGGACCTGATTCACCTCAGGTGACGACTATTGTCCTCGTTCGTTTGTTATTCTTTCGTATTGGGTTTTTACCGCAGTATACTCTATTGACACTGGTGTGCGCCTTCTCGCCACCGCCTGATAGTGGGGAATGGGTTCTCTGTCGAATAAATGGCTTTGGAGGGTGCACCCTCCCGCCATGTCATCATCAAGCAGACTTGCCACCCTACTGTATCGTTCACCACCCTCTGCGTCGGGCGGTGGACCTTGCGAGATATTAAGTCCACATGCATCCCCGAAAATTGCACCACTGACTTCCGGCCATGCTTACTCTGGTATTCTCTCCGCTTTGCGCTCCATGTTTGGCCGCAACTTGATCTGTTACGACCCTTATCTGGTGGTGCGCCTAAAAGTTGGAAATTGCACTTTTGCGAAGAACTCACTCCTCACTGCTGCGGGCGTTGCATCGCGGGAAGGCAGTCCCGCCAATGAAGTTTCCTCTGCTCGTCGCTATTGTGGACGCGGTTGGATTTTACTCACGAGATAGACTTTAACCCGCCCACGGCCAGAAATCTCAAAAAGCCCCTATTTAGCTATCCGGTCGTGGTCGGTGACAAACCAACAAGTAGAAAGCGCAGAAGCGCTTGTATCGCGTAATGTTTGAACCTACGCACCTCCGTCAACACGATTCATTGGAGTACGCAAGAATCCCACACAGAACAGTTCACTGCCTGCTTGTTGACTCGTCAAATCGCAGATACAAAGTAATTTAGAGTACAAAGCCGGTCATACTAAGGGTCGGGTTTATCTTTTGATCCAGTCCTGACCTCTACGAGACTCGAAAATCCTACTTTGCAGAGCTCAGCCGGGGAAGACGTCCCGTATCCTACGATGGGGGAGGTGCCTGAATCTGCGAACGTGCAGTAACCAAAAGCCCCATCAAACTGTAATTATTTCTCTCCGCACTAGGATGCGCAAAAACTGGGCTTTCTGGAGTTCTTTGCGCTTCGCGACCAACGGCCCGGCAGTCGACGGTCCAGATCGCCACTTGCAGTAAAGTTCGAGGAGTGAACTTCCGCAAGACGAACTGCACCCTCACACAGACCGGCCCCCGGTGACCAGCTTCAGTCGGAGTGCGAATGGCACGCAGCTCTTATCCCAGGAAGTCTCGAGGGTCACAGCGCAAAGGACCAGCGATTGAAGTGGTCCTCCTTTTCCTAAAATTGTCGCCCGACCATCTGCCACTTTCCACTGCCTGACCGCCGAAGGACCCAGTCAAGTGAATTACCCTAGTGTAGAGTCGAGGCCCTGGGTTATTTTTATACCCGCGGTGCGCACGATACCAGGGACTTCTCTGTTATGCAGAACCACCAATTCTACTGAAGCAGAAAGTTAACAGGGGCAGTTGGC